AGGTTGACTTTGGGATATAATTCTGTATGCCGAGTAATAAATTCCAAACATCGATAAATATAAAGCGAAGGAAGTGTAAGTATTTTTAGTGACTTGAAGTACGCTCTACAATCTTCTCTGTATCCTATATTAGCTATTATTCTGATTAATCTTCGTTGTAGTTTAAAGAGTCGTGATAAAGATGATGAGTGCCCCCAGACTAAAATGGAATAATTGAGAAGAGAGTGTATCAGAGCATAATAGGCCATACATAAACAGTTTAAAGAAAGATTATTAGCCAAATTTCTTAAAAGGAAGGTATTTTTTGAAATTTTATCTGACATATAATTACCGTGCTGACACCAAGTAAGTTCCTTATCGATAATGACTCCTAAGTACTTTGTATATTCCGCACATTCGATGGAACATTCGCAGGGTCTTAATGTGAAGAGCATTGAGACACATTTTGTTTTATTTAAATGGAGTCTATTTGCACTGAACCACTCTGCGGCTTTCTTCATAGAATTTTGATTGGCGTTGAAGGCAAGGTCGGCAGTTACTCCTGCTGTACCAATGCAAGTATCATCAGCGTAGAGAGTTACATCAACTTCTTTAAGGTAGTCTGGAAGATCATTTGTATATAGCAAGAGCAATATTGGTCCCAAAATGGACCCTTGAGGAACCCCATAATTAACAGAATAAGTACAAGATGATCTGTTTTCAATGGATACTCTTTGCGTTCTATTTTTAAGGTAACTCATAATCAGATTTATACTCGGTGGATGGAAATTATAGTAATATAATTTTCTTAACAGAATATCGTGAGTTACGCAATCAAAAGCCTTACTGAGATCTAAGAAATGGGTTGAGTAATATTCTTTACGTTCAAAGCTCTGGATTATCTTATTGACTAGTGCACTGATGGCTGTAGAAGTAGAGAGGCCTTTACGGAAACCAAATTGTTGTAATGTCAGAAGGTTATATTTGTTTAGATATTCCGTAATCTGCTGTAGCATTAGTTTCTCAAATATTTTCGAAAAAATTGGTAATAATGATATTGGCCTGTAATTGCCAATATCATCAGGATCGCCTTTTTTGTATATAGGAACCACACTGGCTCGTTTGAGATAATCGGGGAATAAATTCACTTCAATGCAGGAGTTTATCAGATTGGTAAGCGGTTGTATTAATGTCTTTAAGGGATTTAATAAGTGGTACTGTAAATCCATAAATGTCTTTCGAATTATTATTTCGTAAGCTAACAAAAGCATCTCGTACTTGGATATAAGTTACTTGTTTCAAATTAAATGAGGTATTTATATTAGGTATATTTGTCATTAAGCTAATGGGATCAAATTTTGGGGGAGCCAAGGTTGAAATGATGTCTGTAGCAATATTTGTAAAAAAGGCATTAAATTCATCAGGTGTTATGACAAAAGTTTGTTTAGGTTGTTTTTTGGGATTTTTGCATTTGATCAATTTCCACATTGCTTTAGGACTATTTTTGTTTAATCAAATATATTTATCATTAGCTTGTTTTTTTGCATTTTTAATAGCTATATTGTATTTACGTCTAAATTCCAGTAACAACGATTTGAGTTCTAAAGTTCCATGCAATTTATAAGCTTCGGAAAGCAATTTTAATGTTTCTCTCATCTTTTGAAGTTCTGTTGAAAACCAATTATTACTTGGAATGTTGCTTCTATTATAGCAGAATATAGTTTTTACAGGAAATGCAATATAATAGTTATATAAGATGGTATTAATGAACATGTTAAACTTATATATAATATCAATATCAGATTTTACAAAGTCCCAATTAACTGCACTTAATAGATTGAAAAAAATTAATTTACCATGATTCGTGAAGGGTCTTGTAAGTTTGAATTGTTTTTCTTGTGTTTTAAAAATTTGAGAAATATAATAGCTACTCCTCTATGATCTGACAGATGGGTCTCAAAAGCACTCACCTTTATGTTTTCACTTGAGAAATTGCAAAAGACATTGTCAATACAGGAACTTCCCCTTGTTGGAAAAGTCACTAAAGATTGGAAACCATAACTAAGTAAGAAATCACAAAACATTTGCGCCTTTACGTCGTTTACATTAAAATGAAGGTTAAAGTCACCCCCAATTAGTATACGTTTCTGTTTATAATTAATGATATTAAGTAACTTAACTAAAGTTTCAATAAGAACATCATAATCACCACTGGGTGATCTATACAATGATATTAACAATACATCAAATTTATGTACATATATTCCGATTAACTCACAATGAATTTCTTTGGATATATTACTTAGTTGTGGTAGGTCTTCATACTGTAGGGAAGGATCTATGCATTGAACCACGCCACCATGAGTGTGAATCACTCTCGAAAAAGAATCAGCCACTCTAAAATTATTAATTGTAACGCATTCTGTTTCATCACTGGTTAACCAGTGCTCACTTATGCACAAGACACTAAAATTATGATTATGTAAAATAGCTTCTAGCAGATTAATTGTATTCCTGATGGACTGTATATTTAAAAACAAAATTCTCAAGTCAGATATATCTTGATTTTGCTGTGGTTGCTATATATTGTTATATTTTGTTTTAGCCTGGGCGCGTTGCACTTGTTTTTTAAGTACTTCACATTTTGGGTCAAAACGTGAGTGATTAATGTCTAAGTCTAATTTCAAATTCTTATTTGCTCAGATGCAATTAATACACGACGTTTCTCCCTTTTCACATTCAATTTCGACGTGTTCACGACTGTCACAGTTTAGACAAATCTTTGTCCCTTCTTTACAATATTTCGCTGTATGATTGTAACCACCGCAATTGTAGCATCGAATTATTCCAAAATGCTCAAAAATTCGACATTCATCCCAATGTATAAGAACTGTTTTTAATTTGATAAATTCTAAAAATGACTTTGGATCGACTTCTACTATCGCCATATATTTTTTTTTCATTTTCTTGCAGATAACAAGTTTCCATATGTTTATAAGATCCTTCAAAGTACTGTTTTGTCTAATTATGCATCTTTTTAGAGACTCTTCATTATATGATTCGCTTAAACCAACAATTTTTATCATGGGATTTCTTAACCCCGATTTTCGAATTGTGTAATCCTCGCCGAGTTTTTGCGTACTAATGTTATGTAGTTTAGTAATATCTTCTTTCTTATTGCACCCGATAACAACACCTCCATTTCTCAGTTGTTTAATGTGGTTTACTCCTATGTCTTCAGCAACGGGGTCAATTGTTTGTTGTATTGATTCCAGAGTAACTTTGCTGGTGTGATTAGTTTTTGGTTTTATAATAACTACATCATGTTTCTTTACTATATCGCTGAATTTTGGCTTAGCTTGCAAGTTTTCCGTTATAGAGTGGATCTCGCTAAATTTGTGCTCAATGGTTTTATTAATTTCATTCTTAAATTTGGTGAAGTGATGAAAAAGTTCATTTTTCAATTCGTCGACTAGACTTTTTGTGTCACTATCACTGGTATTAGTTTTTTCAAAGCGTTCACCTTCTAATTGCTGATTAATGGAAGATTCCAATTGTCGTAGTTCGTTTTTAGGTACGATATTTCTGTTCGTAAGGCCTCATTTTCCGTTCGTAGTTTTGTTATAATTACCTCCTGGGATTCCGCACCATTTTCAGACATGCCAATAGCCATTTCATCCTCCGATAGTGGTAGTGGTGTGTAATGTTTAAAACACATCATTTCGTTCTCACTTAATAGTTCACATTTTTTCCCTCGATTTGATAGTACGTGGACACAACTTTTATGGTAAACCTCTTTACACTTTACACAAGTTATAATAGCATTTACGGTTTTTAAGTTACATCTTTTACAAATTTTATCACCATTTGCTGTTGGAGCGACATCGGACACAACTTTCTGCTGCAACATCACACTGTGTTCTGAGGAAGTTCTTGATCATTTGAGACGACTTGAGCAGATTTCCTCAGCAGTTAGGAGTTCCTGCTGCAACATCAAATTGAACAATTAGTATTGACAAAAGGATTACAGAACATTTTTGAAATTAAAAAGAAAGTGAACATGTGCCTTGAACCAAATGGTGAACATTTTCAACATTTACTGTGATGTTTAACCGCAATCAACTTTTTTCTTTTGTTGTAATGAATTAGTTTTATTTTTTAATAAGATATTAAGCATTTAGGCAACCAGATATACAGATGAGTGTGGTCTTTGTCATGCGTCCTTGGGCATTTAGTAAAATTTAAAACTGACAGGCGGCACGTTTTCAAGATCTACTTGGACCCTATAATCATTTATAGAAACCTTGTTCTTTGTTACAAAAAAAATTAAGAACCCTTATTAACCCTTGATGTTTTTAAGAAGTTAAAGGTAGCTTCGGAACTTCTCTTGTTTTGTTTTTAAAAAACATTAGAACATAATAGGAGTACATCGGAAATTAAACAAGTGTTGAAGGTCTCTGCTGTTTTCATTTTGAAAAAAAAATAAAAAAACTGTGATGGGTTGCGAAGGACAGACAACCGTTTCACTGTGTCACCCAAGAGACCAAATATCAGCAATCGCCACAACAAAACCGTTTAACTTATTTCGAAATCTAAAACAAAACATATTTATTTATGATGGAGAAAACATTTCCAAAACAACATTTCTGTCTGACAACCGACTCCTGTGGCTACAAATCACAATCCTCTCCAAACCACTAAGAAAACACTTCCCCCCGCAAATAAACTCCACAGAAACGCAAACCTAAATTTAGCCCCCACGCACAATTATAGCCCTTTGTTGTACTATACCAGACAGACCCGTTAAGTAATAACGACCATCATAAACCCGATCCGCGCACACTAAAATTTAATCCAAACCTTTCTCAAACGCGCAACAATCGTGTTATTCTAAACTTGAAACCTTAAAACAACATTCAACGCAAATACTTTTGTTTGGACAGAACTCAAAGCATTCTTTTCGCGGCTATAATTCTTGTCAAGTCGTGCTTGAAGTTCGTCTTCAATTCATGTCGAAAGTCATTCAAATTCTCTCCAGAACGACCTCGTATATCACTTCCATGTTAAATTATGTCTACATACACAACACGGGAGGAAAATAAATATAAACGCTACATCAGTCTGTGCCGAAGTGGCGAGGCGTTGAGACGCCCGGCGTCACAAAAATATTTGTGTGGCGTATAAATCGGTGTGTGGTGGACGAAAACGAAGAAATAAACGAGACGAGAAGACAAATGTACGAACGGAAAAAGGAAAAGTCGAGGTGTCGCGTCTGACTGGAGGTAATTTTATGTATCCTTGATTTTTAACGCGTGGTTTTCGGTTTGGCTAATTTTCGGCTTGACCCGGAAGTGGTGCTAATTTTTGGAAATAATTGAGGGTTGGGGTGAACCAGCAAGTGCACGGTTTTATTTTTGAAAGGTAAACACGTGTTATTTTTTGGTACGTACATTCTGAATACACAATATTTTTAAGAATAAATGTCTAGGTAAATATATTAAGAATTGTGGTTAAAAATACATTTCAGTTTAGATATTTTAGAAAGTTTACAGTTTATAAATAAATCCCAGCGAATAGTTTACAACGGACTCCGACAAATCTGATACAAATATGTATATCTAAATGAAAACAAAATTAGGCTTTCGGATCGAGTTAATTTTCAGGATTCTAAACTACTTAGACATTGTTTTCTACATATTTGAAACCTTCTAAAAAAGCAGCGACCTAGGCACTACTAGAATTAATTTACTAAGCAGCACAGAACTAATAAATATCTATTTGTTATCTATCTATCTATCTACATGCAACTCTTCGAGTTCTTATTTTCAATTTTTCAGTTTGAATTGATTTACAATGTTTCTAGTTTTCGTTTTAAACATATATGTACCAATTAGATAAAGATATTTAAAATATTTCACTTTTTGTATTTTACGATTTTAGATTTTTTTATTTTTCAATCATTAAATTTTATAACTTCATTTATTCGACTTTTCAATTTTCGATTTTTAATTTTTCAATTTTTGCGTTCTTCAGTTTTCCATTATTTCAGATTTTCGATTTGCAATTTTTCGTTTCGGCTTATTATTTTCTTTATTTTGACGATTTTTCGATTTGCAATTTTTCAATGTTTATTTCTATTTTTCTTGTTTCTTCAATTTTACGATATGCAACTTCTCTAGTTTTCATTTTTAAATTTTCAGTTTTCAATTTTCCAACTTTTGGATGTTTAAATTTTTCAGTTTGCACTTTCACAAGTTTTCAATTTTTACTTTCGCAATTTTTCGGTTTTTCAGTTTTTCATTATGTTCAATTTTTCAATGTGCAACGTTTCGTTTCGGTTTTTCATTTGCTTTGTTTTTTCAATTTTTTCCACTTTCAATCTTCTGATTTTATCATCTTTCTTGTTTTCAATGTGAAATTTTTCAATGATTTTTTAATTTTTCGTTTTTTCAATTTTAGATTTTTCAGTTTCATTATTTTTCACTTTCAATTGAATTACAATTTTTCTAGTTTTCGTTTTAAATATGTAATAATTATAGTGATTGTTTAAAATATTTGATTTTTTCTATTTTACGATGTTTCTATTTTTAGTTTTTCAATATTTGCATTCTTCAGTTTTTCATTTCTTCAGATTTTCGTTTCGCTTTTTTATTTTTTTTTTATTTTTAGAATGTTTTGTTTTTCAATTATTCGTTTCGTTTCAAATATGTAATAATTTCAGTGAATTCATGATCTTTAAAAAAATTCACTTTTTCTATTTTAAGATTTTTGGACTTTTTAATTTTTCAGTTATTGTATTTTATAACTTGATTTATTCAACCTTTCAGTATTTCCATTTTTAATTTTTCAATTTTTGGATTCTTAAGTTTTTCACTTCTTCAGATTTTACTTTCTTTATTTTTTTACAATTTTTTGTTTTTTCAAATTGAATTTTCTCAATTTGTCATTTTTTTGTTTCTTCATTTTTTAAATGTTGCACTTTTTCGATTTTTCAATGTTCCGATTTTATAATTTTTCGATTTGCAATTTTTCAATTTTTATTTTTTTTCTTGTTTCATTAATTTTACGATATACAACTTTTCTAGTTTTTATTTTTAAATTTTTAAATTTCTCAGTTTTTGATTTTCCAACTTTGGGATGTCTGTTTTTCAATTTGCAGTTTCACGAGTTTTCAACTTTTAATTTTTTAATTTTTCGATTTTTCAATTTTTCATGTGTTTCATTTTTCGATTATTTTATTTTTTCAATTTTTCACATTTTCAGTGTTCTGATTTTTTTTTTTGTTTTCAAAGTGATATTTTTTAATTATCGATTTTTATAATTTTTTTGTGATTCTCATTTTAGATTTTTTTTTCGTTTTAAATATGTAATAATTAAGTATAATGATCTTCAAAATATTTCACTTTTTCTATTTTACGATTTTAGAATTTTTTAATTTTTCAATTACTGGATTTTATAACTTCATTTATTCGACTTTTCAATATTTCTATTTTTAATTTTTCAATTTTTGGATTCTTCAGTTTTCGTTTCGGTTTTTTATTTTCTTTGTTTTTACAATTTTTGTTTTTTCAATTTCCATTCTTTCAATTATTCGAGTTGCAATCTTTCAGTTTTTCATTTTTTTGTTTCTTCAGTGTTTAAATGTTGCAATTTTTCGATTTACAATGTATCGAGTTTTCAATTTTGAATTTTTCAGTTTTTCGATTCTTCAATTTTTCATTTCTTCAGTTTCCGATTTGCAATTTTTCGTTTCGGCCTTTTCTTTTTGTTACAATTTTCGATTTTTCAGTGTTCCAATTTTATAATTTCTCCATTTGCAGTTTTTCAACTTTTATTTTTATTTTTCTTGTTTCTTCAATTTTACGATATGCAACTCTTCCAGTTTTTATTTTTAAATTTTTCAGTTTTCGATTTTCCAACTTTTGGATCTTTTAGTTTTTCAATTTGCAGTTTCACGAGTTTTCAATTTTGAATTTTTCATGTTTCCGATTTTTCAGTTTTTCATGTGTTCAGTTTTTCGATTTTTCATATATTCAATTTTTCGATTTGGAACGTTTAATTTCGGTTTTTGTTTTCTTTATTTTTTCAATTTTTGGCACTTTCAATGTTCTGATTTTATAATTTTTCTTGTTTTCAATGTGAAATTTCTTAATTATTGGATTTTTTAATTCTTAGTTTTTTCAATTTGAGATTTTTCAGATTCATGATTTTTCACTTTCAATTGATTTAAAATTTTTCTACTTTTCGTTTTAAATATGTAATAATTCTAATGATGCTTAAAATTTTTCACTTTTTCTATTTTACGATTTTAAATTTTTTTCATTTTCAATCTATGGATTTTTTAACTTTTTCATTTACTCGATTTTTCAATATTTCTATTTTTCATTTTTCAAGTTTTGGATTCTTCAGTTTTTCGATTCTTCAGATTTACGTTCTCGTTTTTTATTTTCTTTATTTTTAAAATATTTCAATTTATTAATGTTCCGGTTTTATACTTTTTTGTTTTTCCAATTTCAATTTTTTCAATTTTTCGTTTCTTAAATTTTTCGATTTGCCATTTTTAAATTTTTTTTCTTCATTTTTACTACATGCAACTTTTCGAGTTCTTATCTTCAATTTTTCAGTTTGAATTGATTTACAATTTTTCTAGTTTTCGTTTTAAACATATATATACTAATTATATAAATATATGTAAAATATTTCACTTTTTTGTATTTTACGATTTTAGAATTTTTTAATGTTTGAATCACTGGATTTTTATAACTTCATCATTTTATTCGACTTTTCATTATTTCTATTTTTAATGTTTCAGTTTTTGTATTCTTCAGTTTTTCATTTCTTCGGATTTTCGTTTCGGTTTTTTATTTCCTTTATTTTTACAATTTTTCGATTTTTTAATGTTTTGTTTTTCCAATTTCAATTTTTTCAATTTTTCGTTTCATAAATTTTTCGATTTGCATTTTTTTTATTTTTCTTTTTGACTACATGCAACTCTTCGAGTTTTTATTTGTAAATTTTTCAATTTTTTGTTTCGGTATTTTAGTGTTTTTTCGATTTTTCGGTTTTTCAGTGTTCTGATTTTTTTAATTTTTCTTTTTCAATGTAAAATTTTTCAATTTTTGGATTTTTCAATTTTTCAATTTGCACCTTCAATTTTTAATTTGTAATTTAATTTTTCTAGTTTTCATTTTAAATATGTACATAATTATAAATTTAAAATTTTTCGCTTTTTCAATTTTTCGATTTTTGAATTTTTAAAGCTTTTTACGTTTATTCGATTTTTTTCCTTTGTTTAATTTTTCAATTTCTCTGTATTTAATTTTTCAATTTTTCGACTTTCACAATGTTGACGATTCTATAATTTTTCCATTTTTAAGTTTCTCGGTTTTTAGTTTTTCAGTTTCTTCAGTTCTTCGATTTGCAATTTTTCGATTTTAAAATGTTTCGTTTTTTTCAGTTTTTCGATTTTTTAATTTTTTCAGGATTTTTTAACTTTTTGACTTTTCAGTTTTTCAATTTTTTAATTTTTTAAATCAAAAAAATCGAAAAATTGCAAAACTGTAAAACTGAAAAATCAGAAATGAAAAAACGAAAGAGCATAAAACGGAAACTTTGAAAAATTTAAGTTCAAAAATTAAAGAAACAAAAAAAACAAAAATCGAAAGATTAAAAACCAAAAAACTTAAAAAACTTAAGTGCCAAATCGAAAAAACTCAATATGTATTGTAAAATCGAAATATTGAAAATTAAAGAAATCGGAAAATCGAAGAATTGAAAAATCAAAGAAAATTTTAAAAATTTAATAAAGAAATTATAAAATCGAATAAATCTTTGGAAAAATAAAGGAAATGAAAAAATGAGAAAATGAAAATCAGAAAGTCGGAAAATTGAAAAATAAATATCAACAAACATAAAAAATTGTAGTATCAAAAAGTTGCAAATTAAAAAAATTGCAAATAGAAAAATTGAAAAATTGAAAAAATTTTAATTTGCATTTTTTCTAGTTTTCATTTTAAATAAGTAATAATAATTATATTTTGTTAAATTTTTCATTTTTTTAATTTTTCGATTTTTGAATTTTTCCATATTTCAGTTATTGGAATTCAAAACTTTTTGCATTTTTCGACTTTTAATCTTTTAATTTTTTGGGGTTTTTTAATTTCTTTAATTTTGAATTTTTCGATTTTTCAATTTTTCAACTCTTCGAATCGAAAAAATGGAAAAATGCAAAATTGTAGAACTGAAAAATCAAAAATGAAAAACGAAACAGCATGAAATGGAAACTTTGAAAATTTATCTTGAAAAATTGAAGAAAGCAAAAATCAAAAATCTAAAGATTAAAAGCCGAAAAAGTGCAAAATCGAAAAAACGAAATATGTGTTGTAAAATTGAAATAATGAAAATTAAAGAAATCTGAAAATCGGATAATTGGAAATTCAAAAATTGCAAAATTTAAAAACTGGAAAATCGAAAGATTGAAAAATTAAGAAAAAGTGAAAAATTTAATATACAAGAAATTATAAAATCTAAAAAAACATTGGAAAAATAAAGAAAATGAAAAAGCGAAAAATTGTGATATAAAACCCAGAAAATGAAAATAAAAAAATCGGGAAACTGAAAAATAAAAATCAACAACTTGAAAAGTGGAAAAATGGACAAATTAAAAATTGAGAAACTGAAAAATTGGAACATGAAAAATGATATTATGAAAAAATTGCAAAATTAAAAAATTGCAAATCGAAAAATTGAAAAAACGGAAAACTGAAAAATTTGGGAATGAAAAAACGGAACATTCTGATATCAACAGACAGACAGACGGAAACCGGGACCTCTTTTTTTGTACTCTAGAGGTCATGAAACGTCGAGAAAACGTGAAAGTGACAAGTCCTTAATTTTAAAGACCTTTTTCTACTGCTGATGCTAATATTAAAAAAAATAATTACATTGTTGGCAGCAAATGCCATAAACTTCTCACCTCCATTTTTGTATTCAGTTGAGTTTATCATTAAACCTAGTTTTAACGCAAATCAGCATCTCAACTGAAAGCCGACACATCTAACCTCTAAATGACTTTTACATATTTCATTATTATTGGACCAGGCTAAAGTCCACTCAACAGTCGTCAAAAATTCAAAAATTGTCTGAATTAACTTAATCCCAGCACCGTCTTACGCAAACACGTCTTTCCATTGTGCCTCTTTCTCCCAGCTGCGGTTTATTTTTAAACCACCCCTTAATGAGGTCAAGTTCGAACGTTCGGGGTTCGCCCGTAAACTATAAACGGTATTTAAGCCCGACACTAAATTACGAGCTGCAGATGTTCAAATTCACTCCAGTCTTTTCAAATGGGGCGCAAAACGCATTCGCTTTTTTGGATTCTTCTGCGTGTTAATAAACTCCAGTCAGCCCTCTATCAATAACTCTATTTCCAGAAACTCGAAAGAGCTCGAAATAGTTTCGCAATTGAAATTTGAGCACATTATTACGGTTTTACGAGCGACTTTCACTTGCTTCTTTTGCAGACTATGATGGAAATAGACAGAATGTCTTACATCTTTGGAAGTTTCGCCAGACGAAGGCAGAGTCAAGAAGTGGGGTCAAAACGGAAGTCGGTCGAGACGAAGATCAGTCATGACAGGTCCAAGTCGGCACCGCATACTCCAAAGAAATCGGTTGCGACGAGTCCAAGAGCGAGGAGTATTTGTAATTTCGTTAGTGATGAAGGGAAGTTTAAGTGTCCGATGTGTAGAAGACTGTTTGTCGAACCGAAAGTCCTTCCATGTCTGCACACCTTCTGTTTGAGGTGCTTGCAAGAGCTGGACGCCAGTGACTGCAGTTGGTGTGACGAAGAATCCGATGGTAAGATGGTAAAAATTTAGCCGTTGTTCCTTCATTCGAATTATATAACGTGAAAATAATCGCATTAATGCACTATTTTGGCTTCGCACAACCTACACATGCCCGTCAAGGTAGCATGACTCAATAATGGCACAATAAAAGCTCGTCCTGACTCTAAAATAAATTTCTCGGTCTATTAAGACTGTGTTTACAAACGCTGATCACGAGACGCGAAAGCGGAAATTAAGGAAACCAAGCTTGTTGATTTATTTCAGTCGGATTATTTATGACTTGTCGATTAAAATACGCTGGGAAGTCAGGAAGAGGCAGTCCTGATTTAAATTTTTCGGTTTGTTTGGAAATATAAACCATCCGAAAATGTTACATAAGTGGATAGTTTGGCTCAAGACGCTGTGATATTTAAATTGAAACAGACGTCTGACTGTTTAAATTGGGGACATTTATTTTCAAGCACCTTTGAGGATAACGGTAATTATGGAAGGTGTGGATTATAAGTTGGAAGTGTCCTCCCTTTGGGGTATTTTTGTAAACCGATAGTTTTTAGTCTGTGAGGTTTATTTGTTTGAAGTGTATGTGAGAAATGTTTGTGTTGTATTTGTAGAAATTATTTTGTTTTATAGTGAAAATATAACTAAACGTGGTTATAAACGTAATACAAATATATGCACTATCGAACCCGCGGAAATAAGAAAAAATTCTATGAAAAACTAATATACTAATATGACGTAAAGGATTAGGTAGTGTGAGGCCATACGGAGCAAACTATGAATCGAAATGCGTCGTCGCCTACGCAGGATCCAAAGAAGCCCCAGATGGTGAGGAGCCACCGCCAGGGAGGTCAAAGGACGACCGTGACCGAATTGTATTTCTGTTTTTATTTACAGTATCTATATACTTTAGCCGATAAGATTTTATTTTAGTCGTGTAACTAGTGGCAGGCAATAAAGATCTTTTTTTTCTATTAACCGGAGTGTTATTTATTTCTGGCGAAAAAAATTAGTCCTTACATGTAACACAAATATCATCTATGCGCCAACAATTCTGTAAAATAATTGTGACAAAAATCAAGGCAGACTCATAAACCACAAATATAGGAGTAAGTTAACTTATCAACTAAAAAAACGCATCGATAAAAAATTGGTCTAAAGAGTTTAGACAGTACTTCCCTCGCTGTTGGAAACGTGACGACTGCATGGCTATTATGATTTTTTCGCATTACATTTTTGTAGCGGGCCATTTTAAAACAAACTGAGTATTAATTTTTTCAATTTTGACATTATTTGGCATTGACATCTTTGTCATTTTTTTTCTGTGATTGCTATGATTGCTAATTAAAAAAAAAAAATAAATTGGACAAAGTCGTATCTGGGGTGTATAATATGTTGCGTATGTAAAAATTGTCAGGCGTGAACAGATAAAATGAACATCCTGTATAGTACTAGTAATTTAAGAGAAATAGCCATAACACTTATCAACCTGTAGACGTGACGGTGAAACACAAACTAAACTAAAACCTGTTTTCTACGAATTCCAATAACCGGATGACAATGCCGACAGTCCGGACTTGTTTATTGCTCTGACGTCCGTTTATTGAATAAAATACTACATTTTATTTGGTATCCTCGATAAGAATAAATAATAGTTTAAAAAACTAAAAAAACACGATTTTATTGCTAATCGAACTAAAAACTAGAAAATAATTTTTAATGACAGAGTTTAATATTACAGTAGTAGAAGATCAAACAATCAATCATAATAAATCACCTCAAATTAAAATTATAATAAAATTTAAGTTATTAACAGAATAATTCAATTCAGAGTAAAAAGCGTGGGGTGCTTGATATTTTAAATATTACAATCATTCTATTGGCAACTATCTATGAGAGGATAGTTATGAACCGCAGTAAAATGCACCCCACGCTTTTTACTCTGAATTGAATTATTCTGTTAATAACTTAAATTTTATTATAATTTTAATTTGAGGTGATTTATTATGATTGATTGTTTGATCTTCTACTACTGTAATATTAAACTCTGTCATTAAAAATTATTTTCTAGTTTTTAGTTCGATTAGCAATAAAAGCGTGTTTTTTTAGTTTTTTAAACTATTATTTATTTTTCATTTTTTAGTCTGCGACAAATTCATAAATTGGGGAATTAATTACTTATTTAGATTTTTCTAGAAAGAACCACTCAGTGGTCTCCGTATGATCGATCAACGGGAATTAGTTCGAAATCAATCGCCCTCACGGACCAACGGGACACAATTCATCATTGTGGTTAGTTTTACCCCCCAAATAGTTAATTTTCCTCCATGTTTGTATTTCTGAATCAAAATTTGTTATCTTTATTTAAGTTGGTGAGAATTCATGATTAGATATGTTTTAATTATAATTAATTCCTTCTTTACCGACTGTAAAACCAAAGCTATGCAGAAATTGTCCTTGAAACAGAAATAATCGGTATAGATCGGTATAATCGACACGGAGAGAGATAACCGTGGTATATACTGACACAATTAAGATGCGATCAGCCATTTTTGCACACGTTTAGTTAATTAAAAGTCCGTTCTTGTTTTTTTCATTTAATATCCGTTATTTGTATTTTAATCAAGACTATAATTATTACAACGAAGAGTAAACCAGATACTACAGGCATGCGCAGATGGCGCGCTAGCTTTATCTCTTTTACTCCACTACACAGGATCCATAAAAGAATTTATAAATCCTGGCGGTCCTAATAAGGATAATGGGAAACTGTTATCAAATTATTGCATTGTCATCGATCCTTGAGACGTGTGCAAAGTTTCAAGATGATCAGACTTTTAGAAACCGATGAAAATTAAGCTCAAAGATTCCGTTACATACATACATAGATACATACAACCCAAGCTAATAAAAGCGTGATAAAAACAACTTGAAAGTGTTTATGTTTATACATGGGAAGAATGTTTTAAATACATGTACAATAATTATAATGATCTTAAAAATTTTTATTTTTTTTCTTTAAATTTTTTTTTTATTTTTCAATCATTAGATTTTATAACTTCTTCATTTATTCGACTTTTCAATATTTCGATTTTTAATTTTTAATTTTGGACTCGTCAGTTTTTCATTTCTTCAGCTTTTCGATTTTCAGTTTTTCGTTTCGGGTTTTTAATTTCTTTATATTTACACTTTTTCAATTTTTTAAGTCCGATTATACAATTTTTAACTTTTTCGATTTACAATTTTTTAATTTTTCATTTTTTTGTTTCTTAAATTTTTACCTTTGCAATTTTTCCTTTCGATGTTATATTTTCTTAATTTTTTCAATTTATTGACTTTTAGTTTTTCGATTTTTCAACGTTTCGTTTGAGTTTTTTACTTTCTGTATTTTTTCAATTTTTCGCACTTTCAAAGTCCTGATTTTATAATTTTTCTTGTTTTCAATTGAAGTTGAATTTTTGATGACTGAATTTTTTCATTGTTTATTTTTTTCAAAATTAGGTTCTTCAGTTTCAATTTTTCGCTTCTTCAGTTTTTGATTTACAATTTTTTCTAGTTTTCGTTTTAAATATGTAATAATTATTTATTATTTTATTTTATTTTATTTTATTCTATAACTTCTCCATTCATTCGACTGTTCAATGTTTCTTTAGTTTTTCGAATTGCATCTTTTTAATTTTTAATTTTTTTTTTCTTGGTTTCTCTTTTACTACATGCAACTTTTACATTTTTCAGCTTATCGATTTTACAACTTTTAAATGTTTCAATTTTTAGATTTTATACTGTTTCGATTTGCAATTACATAAGTTTTCAATTTTTCGTTTCGGTTTGTTATTGTCTTTATTTTTTTAATTTTTTGGGTTCTCTGTGTTTTTACAATTCTTCTTTTTTCAATGTCAAAATTGTCAATTTTTTATGTTTATACATTGGAAGAATGTCACGTAGAAATTAGTATCCTCAAAACAGAGGATCAAAACAATTAACTAATACGCTACAATCGACAAAATGTTCTGAATATCATTATTATAATCTATATTAAATAAAAACGTTTGTATTTTCACATTTTCGGGAAAATGGGGTGACTCGTTCTTAATACGATCAGAGAAAAATATGAATGCTATCATGAATCATAAGTAAAAACTCATTATATTTTGCACAATTTGGGTAAAATTTATTCGGCAAAATTTTGAGATAACGTCATCATTTTTTTTGGGGCAATAAACACACTTATTTTGATTAACAATTCACCATGCTTACAATAGCTGTAAAACGCCTGCAAGATTTCAAAGTATTCAGTTTTGCAATTCTTGATTTAAGTAATAATTAATGACTAAGTTAATTTTTTCAGACACCCTGTATAAGCACATCTAAAAAATATTAATGCAGTGATAAATCACAAGTAGAGACTCATCTTTTTTAACACATTTAAGATAGCAATTTTTCAGTAATACTTTGGGGTGGCGTCATCAATTTTTTAGGGGGGGATAAGCTTAAATTGGCAAAAATTTTTATGATTTTGATTTTTTTTACAAAAATCTGGACGTTTCGGGTAAAAACTCAATATGAAGTCGTAACCTACATGTGTAGGACTATCTTATTTCATAGAATTTAAAATCCATTTACTATGTACAATTTTGAAGTGACGTCATCTCAGTAGTGGTGAGGATGATTAGACGAATTTTGGTTAGCGTTTTACCACCTACATGATATTCCTAATATAAATACAAAATTTCACAACAATCGACCCAGTACTTTCGGAGATTATCTGTCTAATAAAAATCGGGGATGGCAGACAGACGGACAGACGAATCGACAGACGAAAACGGGGGACCTATTTCTTCGTACTCTAAGGGTCTTTGTTTATGCTCGGGAAGTAAAAATGTTTTCCAAACAATTCTGAAATTTAAATGTTTCACAAAACAATAACGATAACTCCACTGAATAATTTTATTAATTGCAGTGATGCGTAAAACGTGAAGGATGTCCGTAATGAGATAAAAATCAAAATTGGAT